AGAGGAGTGAAGGGAGGAGGAGGAAAGGAGAGAAAGAAGAAGAAAAGGGAGGAGGAGAGGGAAAAAGATGGAGGGGAAGAAGAAGAGAAGAGAAACTAGAAGATTTAAAGAGAGTTAGAGCTATTGGTTGGGGCATAAATTGGGGAGGGAGAGAGATTCGGACCTATTGGAGAAAAAGGTGCTAATTTTCCACATTTTGCGATGATTTTTTGGAAGAAAAAAATCGTCACTATTCATTTTTTTAAGAAAATCTCATTTAGAGGGGTTAGCGACTATTCAAGCAAAACTGTTGCTAAAGCCCCTCGATAGTAAGGAATTTTAGCGACGATTTAAAATTGCTGAAATTAGCGATGGTTTACATAAACCATCACTAATTTCAAAATTATTCATAAAATTTATGACGAGTTTACCTAAATCATCGTAAAATTTGATCTTTCTTGATCGATATAGCGACGGTTTATTGAATCGTCGCTAATACTCGTTTGAAGAACTAGGTTTGTTGTGGTTCTTTAAAAACTATCGAAAAAAATCCTTTTTTTGCTATTCTTTTTAGACCGTCGCAAATTTACCCTCGCAAATTCTATTTTTTCGATAGTGCAAAAATATCACCAAAAACAACGAATGCTTATTAAGATAAGAGCTCAATGAAGACATCGATCAACTATTGATGAATCATTGTTCTTCCTTCGCGCTATGATAACCAACAAAGGCTATTTGAGAGAGAGCCAAAACAAAATTAATTCAAGAGACTTGAAGGGAAAAGGGTGTGGTCCGTCACAAAATAGAAGGAGGAAGAGGTGGGTGGGAGATTAATCGATGCATGAGGAAAGCTTCTAACGGTTTTAGACAGTCTTTGTTGTATGTGCTCATCTTTTTATGTAGCATATGTGGAGAAGAAAACCAAGGTTGCAAAGAAATAAAATCGAAGCTTCTAACAATTTTAGGTGACCTTTTCTTTCTTTTTTAGAGAACAGATTGATTGATTTAGAGCATATCCAATGCTCTCTTTATATTAAGATTTTTCTTTATAATAAAGAGGTTTGATCCAAATTTCATCTCCAATACTCTCTTTATCATAATCTTTATATTTAAAATTGATATAGAGAGTGTATTTGGCTCTCCAATACCTGGAGAGTCTAAATGACTCTTTATCTTATATTTCATTAATAAAAATTACTATTTCCTATGCTACTCAATCTCTTCACCAATGGTCTTTCTAGGTTTTATAGATTTTGTCAAAATAAAGAGTTAAGTAGAGAGTAGCATTAGAGAGGATATTGATCTTCAATCTATATAATTAATGGTGCTCTCTATTGACATTAAAAATGCTAACTAAAAGTAAAAAGCACCATTAGAGATGCTCTTAGCCAGGGTCTCCTCTACTTCATGTTTTTTTTTTTATCCTCCAGGTTATTCCAACTCCAGCTATCTAGACTAATCTATCGTTGGTTTATTAGGCACATAAGACGGACATAACTATCTAAAAAATTTTTTATATATATAAGTACTCGAATCCAAAATCACTTATTTAAACGATTAGAATTCGAGAATTACTCTTTTACCCATCTATTTTAAAATATTCCATGAACTTCATCTACAAACTGGTTCTTAAATATTAAACATCCTTAGTTATGAAAAAAAAATTATTACAACACAACAATCTTCACAACATATTATATATGGTTGGTAAATTCACCTACCCACCATTGTCTTTTTCCTTAATAATGCTCTCTCCAGCCCTACGTAGTACATATAGCTTTTTATTACCATCACATTTGGTCCACACAGTATTGACTTCACCAGCAAATGGCAGAAAGTATACGGAATAATCATATTAAATAGCATCTAGTTCTATAGTGTTAGAGTTGTTCAAAAAATTATTATGTCTTCATTGTATTTCCTCAATCATGAATTTTACAATTTTTGAATTGAGTGATGGCCGTAGTTTTTTCCAAGCAAATTCATTTTTTTATCATCAAGCTGTCATGCTATTGTTACACATAGCAATTCAAGAATAAATAATACCCAAGATGCAATTTATATATGGCAAAATCTAGAATTTCGTATTCTATCCTTCTTGATCCAATACAGCTTGACAGTGACTCTACGATAGCTTTCTCGATCAATCAGCTTAAACGAACAAAAGAGGCTGGCAAGAAAGATGGGAACTTAATAACTATTTTTTGCGAAAATTTTGGTGAAGAATGCGGCACTCGCTTATGTTTAATGAGACCAACGGTAAATTTTTGAGGTTCTCCAACTTACCCAAATGCTTTGGCAAAATCCTAAGACTCAAGCATTTAGCAATGTTTAGAGTTTCAATGAGGTTTTAGGTAACAAACACTCTCAAGATGATTCTCCAGGGTCAAACGCCCCTTCCAAATTGAGGAAAATAAGTCTCTCCAAATGTCCAATAGAATGATGCACCTCAACTAAACTTGTGCAACCTTCAAGCATTAGGGTCTCCAGGCTAGATAGCCAATGAAGTTTGGTGTTTTAACAAGGTACACAGAATGGCTGAGGTTGAAAATTTTCAGCTTGTTAAAAAACCGTCAGAACAGGGGAAAGCAAGGAGAAGTAAGCATGAAATACAGAATTCCCACATAGAACAAAACATTTTATTGCAAATTTCATACCTTAATCGCTTTCCAGACTTCTTTGATGAGGCTGTATTGCATGTCAAGAACAACTAGGTTGTCTAGCTGAAAGTCATATGGTAAAATTACAAGGGGCATTTATGCCGACAAAGCCATGTCAACTCTTTGGAAAGTTGCTCGTAGTATCCAGTGAGAAGGACTCTATTGCATTGGAGCAACTATAAATATTTCGTCTTTGCAAATGATTTTGTGCTTACAGCTACTTGTTTTGATGCTTCAACATCCAATATGAGACCCTCCACCAGTTTTGTTCCCTAGAAAAAGCAAAATTTGTAGTTTGCCATTTCGCAAGAGAAAAGATGCAAGCAACTTGGGTTGCTTTCTGAAAACCTACAGGTTATATTTTGTTGACAACACTTCTAGCCTTATCACTCGAAGGAAAAGATGCATAAGTTGTCATAATTGTTGCCATCCAATGCAGAGGGTGCTGGATTAAACTTATTTGCATCGTCACAAACATAGCGGTCAATATCTCCATTGTTCATGAAACTATATTACTAGTATGAGACAATTTGATATGGCATAGAATTGTGCACGTCTTAGCTGGCCATCATGTTGTTATAAGAAGCATTGCCATTCTTCCACTTCTAGTTCCAGATGCAAGAAACTTTTCACAAAGCTTTGTTAAATATTTAGTGAGACCTGTGATCAAGTAATTCCAAATGGAAAGAGCTTGTCGTAAGATTTGTCAGCAAGTTCTTACAGCAAGTTATGATGAGAAAAAGTGAACTATATAGTTCCTTATTTCAGATGTAAATATTCTCCAGAAAAGCCTCTGATCAAGTGATTAAGAATTACTAAGCAAAATTTTTCAATATCAATTTTAAGTTTGTACGTTCCACAGTCTTAAGATTCTTTTATCAATTAGTTGGTCAGAATTAAGAAAAACCAAATTTTGCTAAAAAAAAAAAAAACATATAATGTATATATTGTCTGCATGTGTAGGTATGGTGAAACATCTGTAAATATATTCAAGTAAATAATTGGCTTTGCGTAAAGGTACTTAGCCCTTACCAAATGCCGGACCAAAGTTTGCAGCATATACCAGGATGATTCGGTGATGTTTGATGAATTATCTCCCTCCCCATGTCTCGTAAAAGATCATGCATCTTTAGTTCATTTTGGTTGTTAATTGTTACAAAAGACCTTTCAATGAGAATGCTAAGACCTGTTTTTGAAACGAAACCACGAGCATCTAGTATTTTTGCTGCATATTCTTTCTTCATACCAACAAAGAAACACGCATTACCAAGGAAAATATCCTTCGATTTGTCATCATCCAATGAATCTAAACTTGTTCTAAGTTACCTATAAATTTGATAGTGGGGAATTTTTTGTAATTTGTCTATAGCACTTCTCCATTCAGGTATGCTTCTTCTGAACAAATAAGAACCTAAAACTTTAAGAACTAGTGGAAGACCACCAACATAATAAACTACCCATTTTTAAAGCTCAAAATAATCTTTTATTGGATGGGTCTCCCGACATTTATGCCTACTGAAAAGTTGGAGGGACTAGTTCTTTGGCCTGATATTTTTTGTCCACTTCAAGTTGAGTTGGCAAATGCTCATCCTGGCTGTAATGATTATTCTACTTCCACAGGCAAACCAATTTCGCTCGCCCACCAGTGCCTTTACTTGTTCTAATTGATCAAAATCATCAAGAACAAAATCTACCTTTGATTGAATAAATTCCACTATCAACATTACCAATCAAACTTTTTTCTCTCAAGGTACCACAAAGAAGTTGTTCTTGTAATTGGACCAAACCATTAGGTTGTTCTCCAATAGTTTTATATTCAAAAGACAACGACTTTCTTGAAATCTATGACAAAGTCGGTTAAATAAAGCTTTTGCCATGGCTCTCTTACCTTTTCCTAGCATCCCATAGATGCCTAAAATGCAAACATTATCTAAACCAACATCTAGCAAGACAATGATATCTTTGACTTGGGAAACAATACGTGCCGGATGTGTAGCAACATTCAAGTATTTGTGATTCAATTTACTCGAAACATTTTCAACGATCTTTTTGATAAATTCTGATTCATGCCTGTACACGGTAAAAGAAAGCCAAACCAATGAAAAAATAGGCTTCCCCGAAGCAGATAGTCGTACAAATTTTATAACATCAACCAAAACTTGTGCTGACTGTACCAAGATTAAGAAAAATAAATAAATCATCTGTTACTGTTGAAAAAAAAATGTACATTATAGAATACATATTGGCACTGTCCAGTGTTTTGGACTCTAAGTCTTAGATTTCAGCATAGCAACTAGCAAACTAGGAGTGGACAACAACAATTGGAATGAAAAGAACATAAGTATGAGACGAAAGAAATACCCATTTGCCATGGGGTGGAGATCCCAGCCAGATAGATTTGCGGCCTCCACAAGAACTCCTTTCCACTTATTGAACTTCTCTATTTCATCCTTGAATCGCTCTTCATATCTACCAAAAGCTTCAGCGAAACCCTTTTTCTGTTTTCGAACACGAGATGGATCGATATTATCGTAGAATACGGAGAGAATAATCTGACCAGTTTTTCTTTTGCAGTCAAGAATCTTGACAAGTTCACCGAGACACCATTTGGAGGAAGCATAGCCTTTAGAGAAGACTACGATAGAAATCTTAGATTGTTGAATTGCTTTGAGGATTCGTGAGGAAATATCTTCTCCTCTCGAAAGTTCATCATTATCTCAAAAGTTAAGGATTCCAGCCTGGATTAGAGCAAAGATGGTCAGTATAATTCTTGCGAGTATCTTCCCCTCTAAAACTTAGAAATTCATCATAAGCCCATCCAGGTCTAGAGGGAGAGGGAAAGGAAAAAGACTCAAATGAGTTCAAGCTAGCAATAGAGAAAGTGTTATTTCAGCAAGGTATGCTGCCAATGGGAATTAAGGTAGCTCGCTAGTCGAATAAAGAGAGGAGCAAAAATAGAGGTTTATTGCAATACACGAGCAAGGCATGTACAGGCATCATCAAAGACAGAAGAAATAGATGTTAGCAGTATTGAGCCGCACTTTCCTGGCAATAACGAAGCAATATGTTCTCACATCTACGAGTCAGTCACCCATTAGTCCCTTTGCTTTTAATCATGACAGCTTTAAAGCCTGGAACACAATTTATTAATAAATTTTTCACAAGTAAAACCTGTAAAGATATATCAATTATATACAAGAGAAGAGGTGATGGATCAAACAAAAGGCCTCACTCACAGCAGAATCATTTTCTTTAACAATGAATTCTTCCACTACCTCTAATGTTTAAAGTGATAAGTCAGTCAATGCAACTCAACAATACAAAACTTCAAGGACTAAAAGCATTGTAAACATTTACTTTTTCTAAGGAATCTTATCACACTTTTGATATCCATGGTAAAAAAACACTTAATTACAAGAAATTAACAAGAAAAAGAAGGAGATGCATGGAAAGTGATATAGAGCTTCCATGGTATTTTCTCGGTAGCTGCACTGAAATGTGGGCCATGGGTGCGGCAACATGTGTCAGTTGCAAACCACTTAGAATATTCAGCTCTCCAAATGCAAACAGTGGCGCGTTTGCGTAAACCTTCCTGCATTTTGACTCGAAATTTCTTAGACGTTCAAAGAATAACTATGCTATTCTGTTCAATGATGATGGTGAAATATTCCGAAAAGTCTGAACTGGTTCTTGATTGAGTAAACTTGGCTGCTGATGACGGAGACGGTGGCCGGAAATAGATGTTGAGAAGTTCAAAGTAATTTGTGATTTCAATGTCAGCATTAATGTGAGTCAAAGTCTCTTTGTGTTTTTTAGAGTTTTTGGAATGTATAGTCTTTGTGGTTACTAGAAGTCATTCATGTTTAGTAGATGTCTTTCATAGTTTCTAGACTTAGGAACTTGTTATGACTCTAGATTTATCAATCAAGGATTTAATGTCAGAGTCCTATATCTAGAGTCCTTCATTTGTATGGTGTGTTAAGAAAAACATCATATTAATGTATAAGGTATTGAGCTGTAGCTCTACCTAAGTATTTTCATCAAAAAATTCTTTTTTTCACTCACTTAGCTTCCGTATATTTCCAACAAATTTGTTATTAGAGCTTTGTTCAAATGGCTTCATCATCTTCCACTTTCACATGTACAAGCAACTCGGATTCCTATTTTTTATGGAGAGTATTATGAGTACTGGAGCTCACAAATGGAAACAATCTTTCTTTCACAAGGTTTATGGAGTTTGGTGGATGAAGGTTTCAATGATCGAGCTTAAATAGGAACATCATCTTCCCGGACGGATGAAGATGAGAACGAGTATATGGAGAATGTGCGAGAGAAATGCCACAACATTGAGGATCATCTAGCAAGGGATGAGTAAATCTGTCTACCCTAGAATTTTTTCTATTAAGAAAGCAAAAGAAACATGGGAAATTTTGCAGAATGAATTTAAAGGCTCAAAGAAAGCCATCTCCATAAGATTGCGAGAATTTGTGGAGAGAATTTGATAATCTTATAATGAAAGTTAATGAACTTGTCGAAATTTTTCTTCGAGGCCTACGGAGATCATCAACCGGATAAAGAGTTGTAGTGACATTATTTCTAAGAAGAAAATTGTTGAGAAGATCCTCGAAGCTTGCCATAGAAATTTAAGCATATTGTTGTTGTCACGGAAGAGACAAAAGACCTATCAAAACTTTCAATTCATGAATTGATGGGTTCTCTTGAAGCACATGAGCGAGAGGGTGAATTTGTATAATAAGCAACCATTGGAGCAAGCTTTTCAAACCAAAGCTAATTTTTCCGATAGGAATTCAAGATTCCAATAGGAGCACAAATGGGGTTCATTGTAGAGAAGAGAATCCTATGATAGAGGACATGGAGGACAGAATCAAAATAAAGGCAGAGGCCGAGGCAAAGGCGTGCTAAATTAGAATTTCAACGACGAACAAAGGTTTGACAACAACTCTTCTCATTGCACCATTTGCAAGAGGTCCGGCCATAAAGCTAGAAATTGTTACTTTAAATGTACCGGATGCAAAAACCCTAATCATTTTGAGAGAAATTGTTGGCATAGAGATAAAGGAGACAAGTAGTAGAGATAAAAATGCAGTGATTTCTCTAAAGGTGATGGTCGGTTGTTCTGCTCTTGCATGAATGTGGAGCACAAAGTTAAAGATGTTTAGTACACTGGATAACGACCGCAATCACCATATTATAGGTGATCAATCAACTCTGTATGGAGCTTGATGAGAAATATTCCTCTCCAGTTGTACTTGGTGATTCCAAGAAGGTGAAGATTGAAGGTAGAGGAGTCATTAGAGTCTATACTAATAGAGGTAATGAAAAACACATCCATGATGCCTTTTATTCTCCCGAGCATTAGTCAAAATCTTTTGAGTGTTGGACAAATGATGAGAAAAGGCTATAAGTTGATTTTTAATGATGATAGAGGTGAAATTTTTGATAAGAAAGCTAATCAAAAGATTGAAGTGGTAAAAAAAGGATCTAACAACATTTTTCCTTTAAGCGTGAAGTCATTGCGGAATGTTGCACTCGAAGCGAGCATGCAAATGAGTCTTATTTATGGCACTTGAGATATGGCCACTTGAATTTCAATGGCTTGCAAGTGTTAAAACGGAAGAACACGGTATTTGGACTTCCTTTAGTTCGGAACAAGACTGGAGTTTGTGAAGGCTGCATATATGGGAAGATGCACCGTTTTCCTTTTCCAAACGACTTGGAGAGCAAATGCACCTCTAGAACGGGTACATGTAAATATTTATGGTCTAACTCAAACTCCATCTCCGAGTAATAAGAGATATTTTCTTCTCTTTGTTGATGACTATACCAGGATGATATGGATTTATTTTTTTATATAGAAAATCGGATGTTTTCTCTACTTCTTTGCAATTCAAAGCTTTTGCGGAAAGAAAAAATTATCGTCAAATAAAGACATTAAAAACGAGACCATGGAGGAGAGTTCATGTACAAGCCTTTCCTTAATTATTGTAAGGAGAATGGGATCTAGAGGCATCTTACTATGAGACACACGCCTCCACAAAATGGCATGGTAGAAAGAAAAAATCGTACCATAGAGGAGAAGGCATGAAGCATGCTTAAAGGCAAGGGGCTTCCTAACCAATTACGAGGTCGAAGTTTTCAATACGGCAACATACATTCTCAATCGTTCTCCAACAAAAGCGAGTTCATAATCAAACTCCATTTAAAGCTTGGCACAATCGCAAACCTATAGTAAGTCGGCGAAAAGTTTTTGGTCGTATCGCTTATGCACTTTTTCCTTCCCAAAGAAGAGAGAAATTTGATAAAAAAGATGAGAAGCACATCTTCATTGGGTATAGTGATGAGTCTAAAGCCTTTCAACTCTTCAATCCATAAAAGAATCAACTAGTACTTTCAAGAGATGTTATTTTTTACGAGAGAGCGACATGGAAATGGGAAGAAAATGTCAGTCATGTACACTGCAACATTTGACTTTCTTGAAGCTACAAGTTAGCCAAGTGATTCCAACATGGTTCCTCAAAATAGAGCTATCACGAGCTTCTCAAAATGAAGCTAGCTCATCTATGGCCAACCCTCCAAATGATGATTCAAATTAAAACTCACCACCAAGGAGGTATAGATCTTTGAGTGATGTTTATGATTCTTGTTATGTTACTTTCTTTGCTTGTGAGCCATAGAGCTTTGAAGAAGGCTGCAAGGGAGGAAGTATGGATAAAGGCTATGAATGTTGAAATGAAATGTATTGAGAAGAACCGAGACTTGGGAGTTAGTAGATCTTCTAAAAGAAAAGAAGGCAATTGGCTTGAAATGGGTGTACAAGACTAAGCATAATGAAGATGGCAGCATTGAAAAGCACAAAGCAAGACTAGTTGCAAAGGGCTACTCACAACGACCTAGAATAGACTTTACAAAAACATTTACACATGTTGCAAGGATGGAAACTATCGGAATTGTTCTTGCTTTAGCGACTCAATTATAGTTGTAAGTTTTTCAACTAGATGTCAAGTCAACTTTTCTCAATAGGGAACTGGAAAAAGAGGTTTATATAGAGCAACCTCAAGGCTATGTAATGGAAGGAAAAGAAGAAAAGGTTTGTCGACTTTGCAAGGCTCTTTATGGCTTGAAACAAGCTCCGAAAGCATGGAACAACAAAATAGACTTGTATTTTTATGAAATGGTTTTGAAAGAAGTCTATCCGAGGCATCTCTCCATGTGACGAAAAAAGGAGCATATTTTTTTATGGTTTGTCTCTATGTTGATGATTTCATATATGCGAGCACTAATGTTGAAATGGTTGAAGAATTCAAGAATATGATGATGAAAGAATATGAGATGACATATTGGGGCTTATAAAGTATTTTCTTAGAATCCAAGTGAAGCAATTAAAGAGGGGAGATTTTTATCTCTCAAGAAAAATATGTTACGGACTTGCTAAAAAAGTTTAACATGGCAAATTACGATTAATGAGAAATTACAACAAGATGATGGTGTAGATAAGGTTGACTCAAAAAATGTTTCGAAGCTTTATTGGTTCCTTGATTTATCTCATAAACACAAGGCCGGATATGGTTCATTCGTGAGTTTAATTTCTAGATTCATGGAAAAACCAAGAAAACTTCATTTTACGATAACTAAGAGAATCTTATGCTACCTAACCGAGTACTAAGGATTTCGAGACTAGATATTTGAAAAAGAAGA